GCCAGCCTTCTGGTTAGCAGCCAAGTGCCTTAGGCACTACGCTACCAGAGTTCCCAACCTATCACTAGGGTGTCTCATTTCCACTTTGATTTCTCAGGGGTTCAGTCCAGGGAGACCCTCTTATGGCTGGTATCTGTGTCTTGCTTTCTTTTCCATGTTGACTATCTGGGGACAGGGCTGGAACAGCTCTGGGTCGTCACCATATTGGGGAAGGGCTTTGCCTTGAAGATGGCCTGGGACTTGGGTCTGAGTTTCAGTTTACCTGTACGTCAATTTCCAAGTCTTGGTGGGAAGGTCTTGGCTTAGAGTCTACGAGTGGGCTCTGAGGAGACGTCTTTGTGTCTATCATGTGTGTCTTTTGGAATCTGTGTTTTATGTGGCAGTCTGTTAGGGTCTCTGAGGGAGTTCTCCGAACCTGGGTTCTGACTGTTCCTTCCAACATCACTCCTGCCAGCAGCCTAAACGTTCTCTCCGGGACAAATTTCTCAGGAATGATCTGGGTGACAGAAGGCTCTGCCTGGGTCTCATATGCTAACTTTGGGGGTGTCTGTCCGGGGTCTCACTGTCTATGAGTTTCACTGGGCAGGAGCTCCGGGGGCTTGGTCTGGAAATGGCTTCTCTGACTTCTCAGACTCCCGCCGGTCGCCCGGGGATCCCAGCAGCTGAGGCCAAGGCTGGGGTGTGGCCGCCTCTGTGGCAGGACGCCGGCCGGGCCTGGGTGGGCTGCGGCCTTCCCTCCCTTGCACGCCCCACCTCGGGCTCCCCCGTCCATGCCCCCCCACGCACACACTTCATCCCCATCCCAGCGGGTCCCCGCTTCCTTACATGGTCACAGCCGGGCCTCCAGCTCCCGGACGTCCCCCTGCCCCCGCCCCCACCGGACACGGCCCCCGCCCTGCTCGCCCCGCGCCGCCGGCCCACGCCCCGCCATGGAGGACCTGGGTGAGTGGGGCCGGGGTCCCCGAGTTCTCAGCCCCTCGCCCGCCGCCACCTAGGAGCCCCCTCGCACGCCCCCTATCTCTCCATCCTCGCCCCCCTTCTCACTCCTGCCCGGGTCTCTGCCAGCGCCTTTTCCGACTCCACGTCTCCCTTCCTGGCCTCTCCTTTCCTGCCTTTCCCGAGCTGCTTTCCTCTCTCCGCTCCTCCATCCTTGGCTGCAGGGGGTCGGGCACGGAGGTGCAGCGTCCCGTGGGCGCCTCTGCTGAAGGTCTCTGCGAAGGGAGGGTTCACAGGGTTCGGAGACTGCAAAGTGGAGGGACGGGAGGCAGACTGTAAGTACGTCGGGTTCTGCAGGGCTTGGGGAAGGGAAGAGTTAAGGGCTCTTAAGAATTCAAGTCCTGGAGACAAGAAAGAGAATAAAGGAATGCCAAGATGCTTGAGAGAGCTTAAGGGTTTCACATGTTGATGGACTTCTAGGTTCTGGAAGGGAAATGGTTCAAAGAACTGAGCTCTGGGAGGAGAAGAGGTCTTGGGGCTGGAAAGAGGACGGGGCATACTGCCTTCCTTGTCTGCTGGGACTCGGGCTGGAAGGCTGAGCCCTGGGCAGAAGAGAGAGGGTTCCCAGACCCTCCAGTAGAGGGCGCCCTTCAGTCAGGGTAATGGGCACTGGCATTGTGGAGAAGGAACCAATCAGGACTGAGGTCCGGGAGGACTCGCCAATGAAGAGGATAGAGTGGGAGCCAGAGGCCCGGAGGTGGGCCAGGGCTGGGAGGGGCCCTGATTAGGTAGCGGGAGAAAGTAGTGGGTGTGGCAGGGAGAGCGTCCAATTAGAGAGCTAGGTACCAGGCATACAGCCAATTGAGCAATTTGGGGTGGAGCCAAACTTGGCTGGAGAAAGCCAAATTTGACCGCATCAAGGAAGATGGGAAGGAGAAAGGAATTAGTCTGCTGGGTTTGTGCTCGACTCCCAGGATGAGCCAGTCAGGGTGTTCCGGTCATAAGCATTCCTTGTTGGCCTCCCACTTCTCTGCCTTGCTCTCACCCTGTTTTCTTCTGATTCTTGACCTCTGCTCGGAATCCTGACTTCTGTCTTTCTCAAATATTGCCCAATGGAAACGCTTACCAACTCTGATCCCTTAAGGCCCTGTGTCAGCCATCGGATGACTTTCAGTGCAGCCTCTAACTGCAGATGGCCCCCTAGCCTTGACCCCTCAACCTCTCCCTGCAGATGCTCTGCTTTCCGACCTGGAGACCACTACCTCACACATGCCAAGGTCAGGGGCTTCAAAAGAGCGGTCCCCAGAGCTGCTCACGCCTCCTCTGCCCTATGACCACCAGACACAGGTGAGGTCAAATGCTAAGAGCTGGGCCAGCCAGGTTTGGCCAAGGCTCGGGGAATCAGGGCAAATTGCAGGCCTGGCATCCCACACGGGCCTCTCATGTCTCTGTAGACAGAGTCTGGGGAGTCCACAGGAGCATCTGGTGAGAAGGACCATCTGTACAGGTGAGGGGCCAGGGAGCTGGGGGTGGGGGACCTACTGGAGGCTCAGCTGAAGGGGCTTGGATTTCCCCACTCCTGACCCCAGGCTCCCACCCTGTTTCCCAGTACGGTGTGCAAGCCTCGATCCCCAAAGGCTGCGGCCTCTGCGGCCCCTCCGTTCTCCTCTTCCAGTGGTGTCTTGGGCACTGGGCTCTGTGAACTAGACCGATTGCTCCAGGAACTGAATGCCACCCAATTCAACATCACAGGTAATAGGGTTATTGAGACAGGCCTGCATGGGAGGAGGGTAGGCAGGGAAGGACTAAAGATCATAAACACCCCCGACACACTGCTGTCGAGTCGGACCCGACTCATAGCGACCCCTCCTTGGGTTTCCGAAGCAGTATCACTACAGAAGTAGATTGCCCATCCTTCCTTCCAAGGAGTGGCTGGTGGGTGTGAACTGCCAGCCTTCTGGTTAGCAGTCAAATGCCTTAGGCACTACGCTACCAGAGCTCCTAAACACCCCAGAGTAGCTGCTAAATCACTGACTAGGAGAGTGGGTTCAGCACGGCCCCATGTCTAGGTACCCTTCTCTCCTCTCTGCAGATGAAATAATGTCTCAGTTCCCATCTAGCAAGGTGGCTGCAGGGGAGCAGAAGGAGGACCAATCTGAGGACAAGAGAAGGCCCAGCATGTGAGTCTGGCCTAGTTGCCAGGGGCCCTGGATGCCTGCGTCACTGGAGGGAGCATCTGGGAGGTTCTGAGCTGACATAAGCTGTGTCTTCCCAGCCCCCACAGCCCATCCCCTGTCCCCACAAAGCCTTCCGCCACCTCAGCCACCCTGGAGCTGGACAGACTGATGGCCTCACTTTCTGACTTTCGTGTCCAGAACCATGTGAGTCAGGCACACGGGTGGGTGGGTGTCGATTTGGGCTCCTCCAATCCATTCTAGGCCCTTCCGTATCGCCTCTCTTGCTGATTCAACTCTCACGTCCTCCCTCACACAGCTTCCAGCCTCTGGGCCAACACAGCCTCCAGTGCCAAGCTCCGTGAATGAGGGCTCCCCGTCCCCACCAGGGCCAACTAGTAAGGGCAGCCTGGACACCATGCTGGGGCTGCTGCAGTCGGACCTCAGCCGCCGTGGTGTTCCCACCCAGGCCAAGGGCCTCTGTGGCTCCTGCCATAAACCCATCGCTGGGCAGGTAAGCGGAGCCCCACAAAAGGGAGGCAGGTATCCACAGACCCGTCTTTACTGAGAGCTAGACTTTGTTCCAACTCATAGCAACCACTTTTGGGTTTCCAAGGCAGTAAATCGTTACGGAAGTAGATTGCCCAGTCTTCCTTCCATAGAGTGGCTGGTGGGTATGAACAGCCAACCTTCTGGTTAACAGTGAAATGCCTTAAGTGCTACAGAGTTTGGGCTATTCCCTTTTAATGAATAACCCTGTGAAGTGAGTACTGTTGTTGTTCGTATTTTACGAATAAGGAGCCTGAGGGTTTGAGGCACACAGCAAGTATGTGGCTGGGTGAGCATTTCAACCCAACTGCCACTTATTGTGCCGGGCACCGTGCTAGCCACTTTGAAAAAACAAAACCCTGTCTCCTTTATTCTTCACAAAAGCTTTGTTGGCTCCAGTCCGGCATCCATAAGACAGTCCCATCTCCAGCAGAGTCTAATCTGGCAGCACTGGTTCTTGGCTTGACTGAGTAGATGTGATTGACAGCAGCTCTGCCTAATGGTTGACCAAGATCCTTCTGCTAGATAATTGCCCATCCCAGAATTCTTAGCGTGAGCAAAGGTGGACAACATGAGACTTAGGTATATTTTGTTACACAGTGTTCTATTGCTGCATCTGTATCAAGATGAATACATTAATATTATATACTAAAACATTTTCTTCTGGTTCATTTTTCATTCTGGGTTTAAGAGAAATTAGAACATTTTCTTTGGCCCCTAAATAGTATTCTGTCTCCTGACTCTGCGGTGCAAGATGTCACTTCTGGAGCAAAGTCAAAGACCTGGGTTGACTCTCTTTCACTTAGTCTGCATGAGCCTGAAAGAGTTTGTTCTCACTGTTTCTTCATCTCATTGCTCAGAGATTGGCCTGGGACAAGACCAGGTCAACACCTCGTTGGGCATGTGGCAGCCCCAAGCCCACTGACCTGTGCCTCATCCCAACCTGCAGGTGGTGACGGCGCTGGGTCGCACCTGGCACCCTGAGCACTTTGTTTGCGGCGGCTGTTCCACGGCGCTAGGGGGCAGCAGCTTCTTTGAAAAGGACGGAGCTCCCTTTTGCCCCGAATGCTACTTTGAGCGCTTCTCACCAAGATGTGGCTTCTGCAATCAGCCCATCCAACACGTGAGCCCCACCTGGCCTCACAGGCCCCACCCCTGTTTCAAGGCCCCTGTGGGATTAACTTCATCAGGATTGGACCCGGCGGCCCATCAGGCCCCGCTTCGGTGATCTCCACCACGCACATCCGCCCTCTCCCCCCAGGTTTACGCTTTGGCCAATCCACCAACCCTTGGACTTCACCTTCTCTCCTTGACTCCCAAGATCCTTTGTTCTCCAGCCCCTCAGCGTCTACCTCAGCCCAGTCACCTGGGTGCCAGTTGGGGAGGGAGGAAAGAGGGACGGAGGGCCCACGCTGTGTGTCCTCTTTTCTTTCTGCAGAAAATGGTTACCGCCTTGGGCACCCACTGGCACCCGGAACATTTCTGCTGCTTCAGTTGCAGGGAGCCCTTCGGGGATGAGGGTGAGAGTTTGTCCCATTCCTTAAAAGCTGCGGGTCGTTGGACGTCCCGCACCGCCCCTCTAGTCAGCCAGATCTAGACCCAGACCTCTAGAATCCTGGCCCGCGAATTTTCTCCGTCTCTTCTGACCCCAAGTCCCGCCCATTCCCTCCCCTCCGGCTGTGCGCGCGCCCGAGACGCTGCTCCCGCCTACTGCTCACTGCAGGGTCTCTCTGGCCCCACAGTCTCAAATCTGGGGGGCCCCAGACCGGCTCCGCCTCCTTGTCTTTCATTCCCCTCTGTTCCGGCCCCTAGGTTTCCACGAGCGGGAGGGCCGCCCCTACTGCCGCCGGGACTTCCTGCAGCTGTTCGCCCCGCGCTGCCAGGGCTGCCAAGGCCCCATTCTGGATAACTACATCTCGGCGCTCAGCGCGCTCTGGCACCCGGACTGCTTCGTCTGCAGGGTGCGCTGCTGAGGGCGCCTGGGGGGCGGGGCCAACGAGAGGCGGGGCCAACGAGAGGCGGGACCACGAGCCCGGGGCGGGGCCCCAGCTCACTCCAGGCAGTGCCGTTGCATTTGCAAGGCTTCCCGGCCGCGGAGGGGCTGCGGGGTCACGGCGGGTTCTTCGTGGCTGGTTCTCCGGACTGCAGTTGGGTCGCTGACTTCCCCTTCCGCGACCGCCCTTCCCCAGGAATGCTTCGCGCCCTTCTCCGGAGGCAGCTTTTTCGAACACGAAGGTCGCCCCCTGTGTGAGAACCATTTCCACGCGCGGCGCGGTTCGCTGTGCGCCACGTGCGGCCTCCCGGTCACGGGGCGCTGCGTGTCGGCCCTAGGCCGCCGCTTCCACCCGGACCACTTCACCTGCACCTTCTGCCTGCGCCCGCTCACCAAGGGCTCCTTCCAGGAGCGCGCCGGCAAGCCCTACTGCCAGCCCTGCTTCCTCAAGCTCTTCGGCTGAGCGCTCACCAGGCCCTCCGGCCCGGGCAGCCACGCTCCCGGAGATCCCCCGCTTCGCGGGGCCACGTCCTCCTGACCCCAAGGCCCTGCTGAGCCGGGGGCTGCCCCTAAACCACCACCACCACCACACACCCCCAGTCTGAAGGCCCCACCCACTGGAGAGACCCCGCCCTAAGGTACCCTGCGGTTCTCTGCCAAGTTCAGCAAAGGTGTGCGGCCAATCCCAAGGCCATACACCCCAATAGTGGGTCGTTCACTGAAGATAGATTCCGCGTGCGCCGTTCACTCTACACCCACCCTTGAGGGAGGCCCCGACGGAGGGTGGGGGACCTTGCAATTCCGACGAATCAGAGGCCAGGACGGGACGCCCCTGTTCCCTCACCGTCTGTGCACCTTTTTCTACCTACATAAACACCTTCCACGCTTCGCCGGTGCTGTGTCTCCGACTGCGCGCTGGGGAGCCCTCGGCCGGGACGCCCCGCCCCTTGGGTGGCTCCATCCGGGGCGGGCTCTAGGCCACAGTCCTGGGCGGGAGCGGACCCTGCAGCCTCCGCCCTCCAGGCAGGCAGCGGTTCATGACCTTCATGTATCAGATGAGCCCGAGGCTGAGAGGGCGGAGACCTGCACGAGACTGTGCAGTTAGTGGCGGGACCAGGACAGCTCAAGCTAGGGCGCCGCCACCTTCCCTACCCACCCTGGCTCTTCAGCGTCCCATATCCTTTCTCTCCCCTTGTTTGTTGTTGCTGTCATTTGCCGTCGAGTCAGCCCCGACTCATAGCGACCCCTCCTTGGGTTTCCGAGGCAGTATCACTACGGAAGTATTATTGCCCAACCTTCCTTCCGAGGAGTGGCTGGTGGGTTTGAACCGCCAGCC